ACAATTGTTTCTATTAACCTCTTTCTGCTATGTTTGCCTGTGGTCTATACGGAACCATTTTGATATGGCGTATGCCAAGTCCATTGCATATGTTTTCAAATATTTGACTAATGAATTGTTTTCCGTTATCGCTAATGAATTTTATCGGTGCACCGTATTTTAAAATGTATCTGTGTAAGAATGCATCTGCGACTGTTTTGGCTGACGCGCGTTTAAGTAGAACAATTTCTGTCCATTTTGAAAAATGATCTACTATTACTAAAAGAAAACGATTTTTATTTAACTCGCTCTGGGGGAAGGGACCAAGAAGATCTATGCCTAAAATTTCATTCGGAAATGTAGCGCGAATGCTATTTAAGTACCCGGCCGGGCTGTAATTAATATCATTTATTAACTGACATTGATTGCAGGACCTGACATACGCCGTTACTATTTTGTATAATTGCGGGAAATATACCGCCTCGCGTACCCTTTTTAAAGTCTTTCTGACCCCTAAATGACCCCGCTGTTTTCGCGTCCTGTAATTCCTTCAAAATGCTTAATCGAAGCGAGGCTGGGATGACTGGTTTATACTCAAGATTTTCGTTTGTTGTTTTCGTATAAAATAATAAATTATCTATTATTTCATAGTTTTCTGCTCTATTTCTTATCGCATCGATATCAGTGTGCTCAAAGCTTTCGGGGTCTTTCAAATATGCATAGATATTTCCAAATTCAGGATCAGCTTTCAGTTCAGTAATAATCGTATCTCTAGAATCTAAATTTTTGAAGTCAACACAGCGCATTTAAGTTCATTTCCTTCATCGTCCAGTTTTATAAGAGAAAGTGCGTCAGCTACATTGTTTTCCTTACCCGGTTTATATTTTATTCTGATATTATATTCTTGGAGTTTTAAAGCCCATCTTATTAACCTGGGCGTTAGGCTTTTCCCCGAGTAAAGTCTACCAACAGCCGCATGATCCGAAAAGACAGTTACTGGCGCTTTGCCGAAATAAACTCGAAATTTGTGTACAGACATTAATACGGCTAATGTTTCTCTTTCTGTAGCTGTATAATTCCTTTGTGTCTGATTCTGATTCAATGTTTTACTAAAAAATGCCAGAGGATGGCTATTTTGCATAAGAACCGCACCCACCGCATAGTCTGACGCATCTGCTGCAATTTTCAGGTTTTCGTCCCCCTCCGGGAATTTTAAAACAGGGGCATTGATGAGCGCTTCTTTTAATCTTTCAAAAGCTGTGTTTGCTTCCGCTGTCCACGTAAATTTACCTTTCTTTCTTTTGATTACTAAGAGTGGTTCAACAATATTAGCGAAATCTTTTATGAAAGACCGATAGTAAGAACATAACCCAAGGAAAGAAGAAAGTTTCTTGGCGGTGTTGGGCGGTGGGAAATTCTTGATGGCTTTTATTTTTGAATCTTGCGTTTCTATACCCTTTTGCGAAATTTTATAACCGAGATATTTAAGTTCTTTAGTTGCGAACTTGCATTTTGAGGCGTTAATTGTAAGACCGGCCTCTTTTAATAATTTTTAAAAACTTGTTCTAGATCATTAATGTGTTGTTCCAACGTACTACTCGTTATAATTATATCATCTAGATAAATTAAAGTTGATTTTTCCTAGGACAGGCTTTAGAACAATGTCCATAGCTCTCTGGAATGTTGATGGGGGCCCCACCCCACACAACCCAAAGGCATGCGTAAAAATGCATAAGTGCCCGATTTTGTTATAAACGCGGTTTTATGTACGTCTTCGGGTCTCATAGCTATTTGATAGTAGCCAGACGTTAAGTCCAAAGTAGACATATATCTTGTCGATTTGATCTTGTCTAATGATTTCCTCTATAACCGGCAAAGGGTAAACTGGAAATTTAGTAATACTATTTTAGTTTTCTGTAATCGATAGCAAACCTCCAAGCCCTTTTATCCGAAGGAGGGAAACTCTTTTAGATCGTTCTTTTTCCTACATAGTACGACTGGACTCGCGTACTCACTATTTATGGGCGTTATTATTTTATTCTTTAACATCTCCTGAATATGTTCTTCGATGATTACGTCTTTTTGTTTGTCGTACCGATGAGGTTTAGTCCTACAAGGTTTTTTTCGGCAGTTACTTGTATCTTATGCGTAACTATATGACAATTTCCCGGTTTTTCTGAAAAACAAGTTAGCAAAATTACTCACCCACTTGCTGGGATGGCTAGCCTTTCATGGTCATTCAGATGGCTAAGGTCCACTTGCGGTGTCTCCACAGGTTCCACCACCCTCTGGTCCATCTCCAGTACCACGGAACTGTCTTGAAAATTCAATTTGGCCCTCGCGGCCCTTAAAAACTCCATATCTAAAATAAGAGAATTTTGCAGATTTTTCACTACAAAAATTAATACTTTGAGGCTTTCCTCTTTTACCTGTATGTTTAATGATAATTTCCCGATGCAGTGACATGTTTTTCCTTGCGCCGCTATAATTTCCGTATTTTTGGTTTTAAATAATAGTACCCTATAAAAATTCTTTTTGAAGAAATTTTCACTCATAAAATTCCCTTCTGCTCCTGTATCGATGAGGGCTTCTACTGGTACATCGCCAACCAGGACTTGTATAATTGGTAGATGAGAGTTTTTTACGATGACCGTATTTAAATGTCTTTTTGAGGTTTTTTTTAAAACTTCCGGGGTCTGGACCCTCCCTTTCACAGGCCCCTCTACTCGTTTAAAGCTTTCCTTTCAAGTTGTGCCTTCTGGGTACGCGGATGTTTATTTTCGAATTTTCTTTTTGGGCCTTGACCTTCGAGGTTCGATGAGTTAGCTTGATAGCTCTTTCCCCCATAAGAGCGATTTCCATTTCTGGCTTCCTCATTTGAAGATTTCCTTCGGGTACTTTGAGAATACGTTGCCCCTCTAGCTTTTTCCGCTATTCTGCGATTTTGAAACTTCACCGCCAATTCGAAGAGCTCCTGCAATGTGCTTGGGTTTCTAATTTCGAAGTAGTCTTGAACAGCGGGTAACAATCTTGGTAAGATTATTTCAATAATCTCCGCATCGGGTTTCTTCCCATACAGCATATCCATCAGCTTAATTTTTCGTAGAATATAGTCCGTCAAATCTTCTATATCCCGTTGATAGAAACTATATAGTTCGGCTTCCATCCTTGCTCGATCTTTCACTATGGGGAAGGCCTTTATTAACGATTTTTTGAAATTTTCAAATGTATATGTCTGGCTTCCAAATTCCCCTAATAAAAATTTGCCTATATTTTTCCACCATAGCGCGGCCTGTCCTCTTAGTGCTGATGTGGCGATGGCAACTTTTTGTCTTTCAGGAACAGGGTAGAGCTGAAAGTGGTTTTCTAGACCTTCTAGAAATACCGCCACCGAATTTTTTCTCGTCGAAATGGACGTTTGGTTGGCTTGATTGACGCTCTCTCAAAGTCTGGACCAGGTATCCAAAATCCTTCCAATTGGCTTGTCATTTCTTGGTGTTGTCCAGCGGCTTCCATCCAATTTTCGGCCATTTCAGTTCGATAAGTGTTCGGGCGCCAATGTAGCGTTGCGCGCCTCTAACTTGCACGCAACCAAGAGGTGACTGTTGAGATTGGATAAAAGACAGAGTCTTGTTAAGGGTTTAAGTCCCTTTTTATTCAACGTAATAAATTACAAGTGCGTGCTCTTGACGCTCACAAACTACGCCAACTTGGCGGTAAAATAAAAATAATAACCTGAAAAGAAACTAAAGACAAGACTCTAACTACGAGGCTCTCTAAAAGTAACTAACCTCACCGCGTTTTACAATACCGCTGCTAATTCAGCAAACTTGAAGATCACGTTGAACGATTAACAATACTTCCAGGCAAGCACACAGGCCGAAACGCGGGGTTCTTCCATTTCTGTCTAACTACCTCCGCGCTCGTGAAGTAAGAACAGCACACCTTGAACTCGTTTCCTTTCTATTTAACTCAGAATACTTCCGCTGATAATTTGAATCCTTGCGCGTTCTACTAAAATTTACATACTCTGGCATTGGCAGTTCCAGGGGAAAGTAAGGCTTGACAGGAAAGGTAGTTTAAACTTAAAATAAATGTTAGTTAAAATAAATATAAACCCTACAACGTAAACAAACCACGAACCGTTGGACCTTTAAGAATAAACATCGAACGCTCATTTGTGATATTAGGCTCGAGTTATTGCATATAGGAATCGAAAATTAGGTTAATCAATTTCACTCATGTACAAGTGGACACTTAAATCAGTGATCTCGAACTCGCGGCTCCCGAAATAATTTTATGCTGTCCTCAAATACATTTTAATTATGTATTCGTTGGAAATGTGGTGGTCAGAGAATTAGTCTTAAAGACATAGAGATATGAACTGATATGTGCGCTCTTGTGTTATAAGTAAATTTGGTTTGCCAGCAGACAGCTGTTGGCGCGTTTGTATTTTGAAATTTCTGGTTTCTAGGTTGAGATTAAAATTACGTTATTTCATAGCATATTCAAATTCAACATACTCAAATTGCCTGAAAGAAAGCCACTCCAAAATATAATATCTAGCTATTAGTACGTTTTAATTACAAAATATAAGCAATAGAAATTCCGTACAGGTACCAAGAAAATAAGTATAAATTAAAATTTGTTCCTTTTAGTTATTATGGTTGTTTATATATGCTTCGATAAATGTTCAGCAAGATAAATTTAAAAATTATTTTTATTATTTTGTTAAAAATGTTTTTAAACATTTTAATACGTCAGCAGCTTTTGGATCGAGCATTCGGCCCGCATCCACTTGGAATTCGAGAACACAGACTTATATGATGAATATAATGCCATAAAATGATTGATTCAGAGTATAATGTCATAAATTGTACTTCAGATATTTAATTGTGTCTAAAATAGTTTTTATTTTATTTCATTTTAAAATCATATCATTCCTATTGGAACACTCGCTACTTCTTAGAAATTTATTTCCATCTCTTCGTTTCGACCAAATTACAATTTTTTATGCTTACCTTTGTCAAACTCGCTCGTCCAGCAACGAACAAGAGTCTTCCTTACACATGATAGAGATATATAATCAAACCTCTGCATCCTAGGGCATTTCTTTACAGAAATTCTGCCATCTGATTCTATTTCATAGAAATGGCGGCATGATTTGTCATGAGGATATCGTTTCAAACCCTCCTTAGGTTCCAACCAGTTGTAGTCCAACATCAGTGACCATGTCTTCTGTACGTTGAAAAGAATAACTGTAAGAGAAACGAAATATTATGTTCTGAGAAACTGGTCGGATATCTTTCTAAGCTTAATATATTTTCCATGAAGCTTCAGATGAGGAGTTCCTAACGGGATCGGTATTGACTTCTTGGGTGGTCGACGAAATTTTAAAGGGGGTCAGTGATGATCACGGTGTCGTCAGCCAAATATGCACCAGCGATTGCTAGGCATAATCAAGATCCCGTTGTTTAAAAATATTAATAAAACTGATAATTAATTTTTTATTAATGTACAACTGTATCTTAGTTAAGAAGAAATCACAGGGAGGGGAAAATATAAAATAGGAAGGGAAAATATAAAATATACATGAATTATGATGGAAGAAGAGTTAATTGCATTGAAACACATGTGTACGCCAAGTTTTGGAATTTTAAAACCATCCATGAGAAACATCCCGAAATAAAAATTCTTACCGAATCAACAAAATTTTCCCTCTTCTTACCTAGTGGAAGCGGGCTTTAATTGTCAATAATTGACTACAAGAAACAAGACACAGATTGGATATTTTTGAAAGAGGTGGTTCAAAAAGCGTACAGCGTATATTATGAGTATGCTGTACGCTATTTATTGAGGAGAAAATTGTTAGGGGATAGATGAAGTAAGCCATTCTTTCAAAGGGAGTCGATGCGAAAAAGGGTTGGGAATCTCTGGTATAAACCTAAATTTATTGGTAGTATAGTGAAACCTCATTTCACGAGTTTATTCATGCCTGAAGATAGCTCGTGATCCGAAATATTCGTATACCGAAACAATTTTTCCCACAGGAATTAATCCGTTCCTGGATCCCAAAGGATTGCTTAGAACAGAGTCCAGCGTCACAAGAGAGGTCGATTTTGATGTAAGAAGCCTACATGAGAGACAGCTACATTGCTCTAAAGGCGAAAAGAAACCGGCAACACCAGGTGGCGAATGTTTCTTGCCACAGCGGATCTCCCAAAAGACTGTAACCAGAGATTTGGGAGAAGGAGAATTATACGCTTTCACCTGTTGTGCGCGTCCCGTTGTCGAGACTGTAGCCAGACTTTTGGGAGGAGAATTATACGCTCTCAGACCTGTTGTACGTATCCCGTTGTCCAGATAGCATCTAGTGAGTAATCCAGACAGCAACCCTGTTTGCAGTGGCGTCGTGAGTATCGCATTTGAAAAGTTATCCAGCATCTCTTCAAAGAAAGTTGACGGCTTAAGTAGAAAACGGTCAAGAAACCAAAGGTTCTAAATGTTACATTTAGACAGGAAAATCCTATTCCGGAAAAACATCAGGTAAACGTTGTCTTTCTTTCTTTTTTTTTTTTTTAACTTTTCTTTTCTCTTTCTCTTAACATCGTTCGTCTCTACTTAAGAATTTCCGAGCCTTTGTCCCATTAAAAGTTTTCCACTGTTGTTGTTTTCTTTCTGTTTTAAAATGTTCCTAAAGCGAAACATAGCATTGGAAACGTTTATGCTTCAGCATATTACTGCTTTACTAGGATGACAGCATTCTATGAACCTTTGCACCTTATCCCATTTTGCACAAATTTCGCTAATCAAATGACTAGGAACATTCTTCCTTCTGTCTTCTTCTCTTCAGCATATTTCTGCCACTGCGTATACTGCATTTTTGAATGTCACTTATTGACGGTTTACTTATTAGTATCTCGAGACATCGTTCGTCATAAAAGACTTTTTTCATTTACAAAATTTGTTCGTGAATCAATTTGTTCTTGATCTAAAACCTTAGTGAACTAAGGTTTCACTGTATCGAATGTTAAAAACTAAGATCACTAAGGTCACATTTTGTGTCGAATGTTAAAAAAACGTATTCGGATCCTTTGGTTCAAGAAAGCTCTAGTAGATGTTAGGAAAAGACACTATCGGGCTCTGCATTTGCCGCGAAACAACAGTTTGCAAGATAGCAGATAAAGGCCTGTTGAATATTGATCAAAAGGTAAAAATGTCATTTTTTTTAAGAAACAAAATTAAACATTGGGTGGCGATACAAAAACAGTTTCGCACACACTTTGGTATAATTTGAAGTTAGGCCAGCATCTCTGTAGCATAACAGGTGATTGAGGTATTGCTGAGCCTAACTAACTGCTAAGCTACTTCCCCAATTTTGAGGGAAATCACCCCGGGGAAGAGCGGTCCGAAGGCCTCCCAACTCTCTTTCCCTTCACCAGTCTCTCGACAGAGCTACTGTACACTTACAAACATCCACACCTTCTCCCGGTCCGTCGGTACAGCAGTCAGCATCGCTAACCCCTTTACCAGTTGTGCTTCTACTTGAACCCGTCGGCAGAGTTAGCTGTCAGCGTCATTAACCATTATAGCCGCTGGGCGTCACACGCTTTATTTCAAGATGGACATCCTGAAAATATATCATTCACAGATTGCGACAGTAGCTGGAAGCCACTGGCTCTGTATTGGAGAAAAATTTATGACGCCCATCAAGTGTATGTACACCTGAAATGTGAACAGAAAATGTACACATGAAAACCGATTTTTCGTGATGCTAGGCGTTTGTTAACGAAGGTTTCACCGTAATCAACTGCTGTCGGTCTTTGTACATTTTGACGATGTTTCTTTGGGTTCTTAAAGGCCCATTTACACTAGCAGAACTTTGAGCCTAAGAAACGCAGGGGAATTTGAAGACTCGTTTGAGAGCTTTTAAACAGCAATTTTTTCGTATTATGAGGGAATATTTAACTCTTAAACTCTTGAATAATGTTATAAGTTAGGCTGTTTATTTCAATGTGTACATATTCAGTTTCAGTTTTAAAAAAAAAGAGTAACATTTTCGCCATTTAGTGAAGCTAGCAATTTCCGCGTGCATTTCTTAGGCTCAAAGTTCCGCTAGTGTAAATGGGCCTTAAGGGAGTGAGATTTTTAGCCCTTTCAATTGCTCAGAGATTTTACTTTCAAATAATTTTCTCTAGCTTTACTTTTGGTATCATTATTTTGACAAACTTCCATGCTTTCATAGAGCTTCTCATAGTAGAATATTGAAATATATTAATATTCTAACGGATTCTGTTTCACGTCGCTATTATTCCTGGCTTTATTATTATTTTATTTATTATTATTATTATTTTTATACTTCCCTGTTATTCCTGGCTTTTATCAAAATAATTCCTCCTATTTAAAATTTTACACAGGTACCGGTTATTATGCGATTAAGTAAAATATTCCCTCTTAGGGTGAAGTTGGCTTTGTATTAAAAGCGACATAATTCTAAATGTAGTCTGTCCACTCAGAGAACAGACTTGTCTACGCTTGCATCCCGTGGTGTCGAATGATCCCAGCATCTTACCTTAGGTAAATTGGGATCAATGGTGCAAGCCCTGTAACAATGGAATTTAGATCTCTCATTTGCAGCCTTGGATGGGCGCGCTGCTTCTCTCCGTGGTGAACTCAACTCCCATTCTTAACTGGGAAGGTTAGATCTCTTCTCGTGGTGGATGAATTATAAGAGTATTTCGAGTTCGTTCTATCTTGCAGCATATCGTCTTTGCTTGTTTAATTGTATACAAAGCATGGAAGGATCTTCTGATTACGGAGAGGAGTTTTTAAGAGAAATTGGTTCTACGAAATATCCATTTTTCTTCTACACCTATAATATACATTTGTTCTTATTATGTTTGTAAGCTCAGTATGTTGTAATAATAATAAAGAGTATAAATAATGTAATAATAAAGAGTATCTAAAATAGGTATTCTATTAGCAAATAAAAGTATGTAACATATTGCGAATTTGAAAAGATTATTGTAAATTTAGAAGTCAAACAACAAAAATCAGTGTTATATTTTCAAATTTTTACAGGTCTAGTTTCGATGGTTTTACCAAATCATCATCCTCAGCTGCTACAAAAGCGGGGGGGGGACTTTTTTCTTTTTCTTTTCTCTCTCTCTTTTTTTCCCCCGCTTTTGCAGCTGAGGATGATGGTTTGGTTAAACCATCGAAACTAGTCCTGTGAAAATTTGAAAATATAAACGCTGACTTTTGTTGTTTGACTTATAATTAATATTTGTTCGGCGTGTTATTGTATCTTATTTAAGATTATTGTAATTCAACATCTACAGCATTTCGTTTTTAAATTTATTTGTGTAACTGTGGATGTGTGTTATAGCTGCATATTCACAGTTATACATGTCCATAATTGTACATAAAATTGTGTGCATGTTATACCAGACACGGTCGCTGACATTTTCATTAATCTGTGCCGCCTTCCAAGAAAACGGAATTGTCTGTACTTCAGATAAACAGTCATAAGTATTTTTTTTTTTTTTTTTCAGTCTCAACAGTAGTTTTTCCACCATACACTTGGCCACCTCTAGTCCTCATCATCTGGTCTCACCTTACACTATCAATTCGCGAAGGACGCAATACTAAGGTAAGTTTATTTATTCCATCGACAGGGCTTAACATGGTGATAGGTACCTTGCCTAGCGAGCCTGCTCTTTTGTCGATGGCAAAAAAAAGACGAAAAATAGATAATTCACAGGGCTTTAAATTACCAATTTACAGCTGTCTTATCTACTCAGCGATTGGTGTTTGAATCGAGCAACTTTGTGGTTGGGCTTAAGTAGTCCTATCGTAGGGTATTTCTACACGAGTCCGTAATACAACATAACATACAACATTTCATAAGTACTTAACGATCTTGAATTTCTTAGCAAACGAGGTCCAAATCATGCTAAAATTTAGGTTGGTTCTGTATGAGGGAAAACATGAAGTTGTGTGATCAACTTCAAGACATTTTGATAGGAATGAACAGTCCAATGAATAGATTTGCAATAAGAACGCAATTTAATAAAGGGGAGGAATTAATGTATTTTCAAGATCAGGTAGAAAATTCTGATGAACGCCTAACGAAAATATTGCAGTAGCCAATCGCACATAGTCATGCATACGTATAATTTTTTCCCCCACATTCTGTACATTTGTTAATTTGTTGAAGAAATCCATTCGGTTATTTTTAATACCTTTGCCCTTGCGTTTGCAAATCTAGTATTTCACGCAAGAGGCCTAATTTTCAGTCCGGTTCTCATTGTATTCTTTTAAATATTAGTCATTATCAGCGTTTAATTTAGAAAGTTTGACTTTTTACTTCACTTAAACATTTAGCAGCCATTGTTTGTGTACTAACAAGAGGTGAAGCTAATTTAAAATTTTCTGGAATCCACACCTAAAAACTGTAGAATCATTAGGTTATACCGATGTGATGAAACTGAAGAAATCCGTGGAGCCCTCGCCGAGATTCGAACTCCGGACCTTTCGGATACGCATCGAGAACGAAGGGAAAAAATGAAAAGAAAGAAGGAACAACATATCTTCGTTTCCCTCGAGTCCTTCATGTAAGAATACTTACACGAAGAAAAAAGTTTTAATTAATATTAAAAGTTAAACCAAAATTGAAAATCTGTGTTATTTTTATTTAAAATTCAAATCAAATTTTAAAATATTGTTACGAATTTCACATTTAATTAGACATTTTAATAGAATTATAATTAAAATTGTTTTATTTTCCAGTGCAATGCAGCTCCTGACAAATTTTGAGACAAAAGTACGGCCGGAAAAGTAAAAATACAACAGCATATATTTAACATTGAATAAAAGTTTAGATCTGTAATTGATATTTAATTTGAATAAATGTAATTGACTACTAATGATAGCTGTAACCTTAAATTCTACTCTTTTTGATTTCCAAAAATTGCTAGAAATGTCTCGCGCGGCCGATTTAAAAAGCTTTAAAAAGGCCTGAGAGAGACATCTCAGCTCCGTTTGTTTTGATAACTGTTGTTGTTGATCGTAGAGAATTCGTGGTGAAATCGGATTAGCTTTCTCTGCGTTTTGGATTGCGTTCTATTTAACGTTTTAGTAGTTTAAAATGTGCTTACTGATTATATTGCGTGATACTGTGATATTGTACGAATATCTTTGAGGAAAAATCCAGCGTTTAGCTATATTTCTTGTGATAAGAATAAATTTTATTAACTTTTTATCGGACTTCTTCGTTCAATCTATGAAGAACCCGTACGCAAGCAACAATATAACTTTTAAAACGGCGACTGTACGCAGTGAGAAAATACAATTGCAAAATTTGTAGCTGAAAAATAATTAAAATTAATCTCGAAGTTCATTCTTGACATAATTTAACAAAAAATATTTAAGTTCTAATTGTTTACATTTTTCCAAAATCATTTTAGATCAAATAGTGTAGATGGGAAGAGGTCTCTTTCAAGAATTAGCACAAACAGACTATAAAACATGGAACGTTAAGTTCCCTGCAGAGTAGCTAGAAAAATCAAAAACATTTTTTTTTTCAATGCCAGATTATGAACAGTTACAGTGTAACACAGTCCATTAATCTATTTACACGGCCAGATGTGGTGATCTCTTTATTACGGATGCACCTAATAAGGTGGGCCACCATCGCCTCCTATGAAGGGACGGACAGTTACAACCATGCCTTCTCCGGAATTCGAACCCAGGCTCTTCGGTGTCGCAGTTAGGCTTTCCTAACCACTATACCGTCTGGGCGACTTCAAAAACATATTTATTTTAAGTATTCATGAAGACACTAAATAATGAAAAAGTATTAAGGTACCACTAAAATTGCAATAATCGTCTTCGTTGTTACCTCCTTGTAAAAAGTAAAAGAAGTACTGTAATTGCGAAAAATTTCAGATTTCAATGGAAATACACATTTAGACATGCCTGAATCACTTTTAACTATTTTTTGCGTGACGTCTGTACACACGAACAGAATAAAAAAGGCTTTATTCCAAAATAGACTGCAAAATGCACTTTTTCCTGACGTCTGTACATATGTGTCTCGCATAATTCAGAAACGATTAGCCATAGAACACTGAAATTTTGCATATGAGATTCCTATAACATGTAGCGGTGCGCCTCTTTGCTTTTAGTCCAAAGCGGCTTTGTCCCTGATGGACTATTGTTTTCGTTTTGCGATTTTGCGTTGAAAACTTTAAAAGGCTGTATCAGTTCTCAAATCGTTGCCACCAAATACTTTCGTCCTGTATTTTATTTGAAGAAATTAAACAATGAAAAATTTGCATAAATGTATGTATGTTTCGCGCATTGTGATAAAACAACGGTACCTAGAGCCATCGAATTTTGAAATACGTAATCCTCCTACGAATATGGGCATGTGGAAGACCAAATTTGAAATTTGGAATTTGATTTACAATCGATTTCATATTTTGTCAAACTGTAAACGAATTTTTGACTAACAAACTCAACGATTTAAAAGCGAGCAATTGGCAACACTCTATGGGGAGGGGGAACCTTTTTATCTCTAGCGCACGGAACTGTGTATCGAAAATTCTAAAGATAGGATCATTTTAAAATTATTTTGCGACTTTGCTGTTGAACTGAATTTTACGGTTTAAGTGCAAAAAAACCTCTTTGGTTGTAATTTAAAATCTGAAATCTTTCAGATTTTTTTTCCCAGTCGGCAGCATTAAATCGTGTATAGTATATACCCTACCCCTTACCCGGCTTTTATTTCCGCAATGGTTGGTCGTAGACATATACTTCCAATTACAGAAGTGTTTTAAATGACGAAAATATTCATATTTTGTTCAGTTTCAAATTTAAAACAAAATTAATTTTAGACAAACAACGAAATCTAATTTTGAATGCAGTCTACTGGTTAATATACTTATATTTGGGAAAATTTCGTACTAGTTTTGGAAAAAAAAAAAAAAAAAAAAAAAAAAAAAAAAAGAACAAGAACTGCCATAGGAGCGCGGCATTTAATTTAAAAATTTGTAATTTTTTATGTCCTTTTTAATTTGCTTGGAGGGATCGCTTAATTCAGTTAGAATGATTCGAGTAAATAAATTTAAATGAAGTGCAGCAATAAATGTGCATAATTTTAATAAGCCGTCCAAGGAAGTCATGTGGTGTCCACATCGAATTTTTTATAAAAGCTACTATCGGATATTAGTATGAATAAAACTTATCGGTTCCAAGATTTTGTGTACAGTATTTAACTTTTCTTACGATAGGATTTAAAAAATTTAAATGATGACAAATCTCAAAGATTTCACAATTGATTTTTAGTCCAAAGGGACTTGAGTCCCGAAGGACTATTAATTTCGTTTTGGCATTTTGCGTCGGACTCATAAATGTCGGTTCACTTTTCAAACTGTTGCCACAAAATGTTAGAGTCCTGCATTATATTTGAAGAAATTAAATAATGAAAAATCTGCGTAAATGTATGTATATTTCTCGTATTGTGATAAAACAACGGTACATAGAGTCATCGAATTTTGAATAACGTAATCCTCCAACGAATATGAGCATGTGGAAGACCAAATTTGAAATTTGAAATTTGTTTTATGATCGATTTCCTATTTTTTAAAACTTTGACGAATTTTTGATTAACAAACTCAAGGATTTCAAAGCGAGCAATGGCAACGTTGTGCAGAAAAAACATTTTTATCTCCAGCGCGTGAGTCTCTGTATCGGAAATTCTAAAGATATGCTCGTTTTAAAACTATTTTGCGATATTGCTGTTGCACTGGATCTTATGGTTTAAGTGCGAGGAACATGATATTTAATAAAGAAAGGTAACACACAAAATGTTAAAAAAACGCCCCTTTGGACGTAATTTAAAATCTGAAACATTTCAGATTTTTTTTTTTTTTAGTCCAAAGGGATTTGAATCCCGAAGGACTATTAGTTTCGTTTTGGCATTTTGCGTCGGACGCATAAATGTCGGTTCACTTTTCAAACTGTTGCCATAAAATGTTAGAGTCCTGCATTATATTTGAAGAAATTAAATAATGAAAATCTGCGTAAATGTATGTATATTTCTCCCATTGTCATAAAATAACGGTACATAGAGTCATCGAATTTTGAATAACGTAATCCTCCAACGAATATGAGCATGTGGAAGACCAAATTTGAAATTTTTTTATGATCGATTTCCTATTTTTTAAAACTTTGACGAATTTTTGATTAACAAGCTCAAGGATTTCAAAGCGAGCAATAAACATTTTTATCTCCAGCGCGTGAGTCTCTGTATCGGAAATTCTAAAGATATGCTCGTTTTAAAATTATTTTGCGATATTGCTGTTGAACTGAGTTTGATATTTAATAAATAAAGGTAACACACAAGACATTAAAAAATCGCCCCTTTGGACGTAATTTAAAATCTGAAGCCTTTCAGATGTTTGTTTGTTTTTTTAATTCACGTGGTCGAATGATTTATTTCAAGCATTAATATACTCAGTTAGGAAAAAGTTACTCCGAAAAAGTAAAAATATATGAGCACGTGCATTTAAAATTGAATAAATGGATATATCTTCTATTTGTATTGAAACTGAATGAATGTAATTGACTACTGTGTTAGCTGTAACTGTAATACCATCCTCTTGTTGGTTTCCCGAAATCTAAAGAAGCAAAGGAATTACTAGAACTCTCTCGACCGATTAAAAACTTTAAAAAGCTTGAGAGAGTCATCTCAGCTCAGTTATTTAGTTAACATGACATGTTAGTTAACAGCCCACACGACTTCCCGCGAATTAATAGGAATGAGTCTAAAGTAAAGTATCACTTCCAGTAGATCGTTTAGGAACAAAATCTAATTGGTTGTTCTAATAAACAGATAAATAGAAAGTTCTGTAACTCGAAGTTTTAGATTCTATTTGATTAGGCTCAATTGGCTATGTATAAAAAATACTTTTTTTAAATTTATACTAACAGAATCCTGTCATTTTTATTACATTAAAAATTTTATTTTTGATATGCAGTTGGTTAACATATAATTTAATTGGTTTTTAGTTAAAGAAATCTAATTGTGTATAATGTATTTAAAATAAACACCATAATTTAACTTTCTTCTATCTCATTTCCATAATGTCGACAAATCTACATTCATTTTGATCTGCACATATATACCCGCGATATTTAGGTATCAGTAAATAATGCTCATTAGTTAGCTGAATAGTGATTATCGTCGTTACCATCGAAACAACAAGGCCTATCTTCTGCTGTACGTGGTGACACTTAAAAGGGGAAACTAGTCAGTAGAATTTCACCCCTTCGAAACATTCTAAGTATGTATGATCAATTTTTTAAAAAGATACTCTAATTTGTGCGTTTAAAAACATGAACTATTCAGTTTTTCAAATGTTAGACCTTATTATTACATGTTTGATATTGATTAAACTTCTATAATGTTATTTTGAATTCAACAAAATCTGAAAATAATTATGCTGATACATGAATTAAAAAATAACTCAGAAGTTAGTCATTAATTCGAAAGAATTGAATTAAATCTGTAATGATATGTATTTACATATAAATTTAAAATATAACATTTAAGTTAATAATATGTAAGCGAGAACTCCATAAACCTTTCTAGAATGTAAAGATAAAAAAAAAAAAAAAAAAATCGGAAAGGTTTTAGATTTTAAATTACGTCTAAAGGAGCGTTCTTTTAACATTTTGTGTGTTACCCTTATTTATTAACTATCACGTTCTTCGCACTTAAACAATAAAATTCAATTCAACAGCAATATCGCAAAATAATTTTAAATTCAGCATATCTGTAGAATTTCCCATACACAGTCTCACGCGCTGGAGATAAAAATGTTTTTTCTGTACAACGTTGCCATTGCGCGCTTTGAAATCCTTCAAGTTGTTAATCAAAAATTCGTTAAAGTTTTACAAAATATGAAATCGGTCATAAAACAAAATCCAAATTTCAAATTTGGGCTTCCAGATGCCCATATTCGCATTAGAATTCGTCATTCAAAATTGGATGGTACCGTTGTTTAACTACAATGCGAGAAAAATACAAACATTTATCCAGATTCTTCATTATTTAATTTCTTCAAATATAATACACGGCGATAATATTTGGTGGCAACAGTTTGAAAAGTGAAACGGACATTCAGAGTGATTCGAATTAAAATCGCAAAACGAAAACAATAATTCCTCAAGGACAAAGCCCCTTTGGACTAAAAAATTAACCTGCATATTTCGAGGAAGAACTTAAATTGGTGGCTTTCCTTCAAAAAGCAAAATTAATTAAAATATCTTAATAGTTTAAATATGAAATCATTTAAGATCTCCACAATGAATTTTTATTAAACAGACAGCACTTCGTAACATAAATATCGATAAATGCCAAGAAAATAATTTTAAAAACTAATATGTGTTTCCTTCAGAGGTTAATTGCAAGCAATCACTTGCAATTCACTAGCTCATAAATACACAGTTCGAATCGAGCGCTTTATGCCGTTGCACAGGATGAAACCAATACATATTAACCCAAAATGAAATACTTACCACTTGAAACGAGCAAATACAGTACATCACATGACTGCATTATCAAGGCTGATGTTGATTTAGCAGGAATTACGATTTCAGTATAAAGGAAAAAAGCACTGGACTAATAAATGCGGATTGCTCCCGACTGTCAAAAATAATTTTGTTATAGAATTAAGCTTCGTCTTTATCAGTCAGAGTAAACGATAAAAGAAAACTTGATAGACTTATCTTATTACTGGAGGTTATTATTGCGACATTTATAGCAAGATAATGAAAAAAAAAAAAAAAAAAAAATATGCAATAGATTGCGAGGACGACCCCCCCTTTTTTTTATCAAATGTATCGCCCGCAGGAAATCGGTGGCAGATATTTGTAACAGATTTATTTTGATTTCATGTCACAGCTGAACACGTTTTAAAGAAATTCTGCATTCTAACGTTATATTATTTTAAAGGTGTCTTTTAAGGCATCTGTATTTTTTCTTATATCACACTTTTCGTTTGGCTTTTCTTAGTCTTCTTTCAAGCTATATTCGTTAAAGCTCATATCATCAAGTACAGCTGGAATGAAAGATTTTATGTCATCACCAGTGTCCTCCATATACAAGTTGTCATCCATTTCTAAATACCACTGATTTTGACAATTTCAAACAATTCATTTTCATCAGCAGTATCTTTAAGGCACTCCCAACTGCTGTCTTAAAACAGCGCTGAACAAGTCTTTGTGATGCAGATTTAACAGCCTTTGTTATCCACTGAATTGGCATTCAATATATTGACGCATTTTGCTAGCTGATGGCTGTTTCCGCAAGCAGCTGGACAAAGAACAAGCCATAAAAACAGTTTCTGTAATAAACTTTGAAGCACCTAATTATACCTCGATCCGAATTCTGTAATACTGATGTTGCATTAGACGGAAAAAATACGTAATTTCACATATTTCAGTTTTTAATAGGTGGGCTGCAAATGGTCAAGAAATAGAAGAAGCTTCCTATTTTTTTTTACATCTTGGTCTTTCGATTGTAATATCTACTTGTTTATCTTCTGATGTGACAGCTGAAGTACATGTAGGAACCACACAGAGGAAGGGTAAAAAGAACCCTTTATTTAAAACTCTGAAATTCACAATGCGTTGACTTGACGCTAACAAACTACGCCTCGCTCGAGTGGTAACTCAAATAACAAGAGACCACCAGCGGCCGAGCGGTACTGTAAGTAGCTGAACACTGGTAGTTCGGTCCGAGGTTCGAATCCCGCGAACGGGCTGGCTGCATGGGTGTTTTCGTGGTTTTCCCCATGTGTAACGTGTATACAAGCCAGTTTCCCTTAGAAAGTCCTCCACGAAGGCATCCCTTCCGTTAGGCAGATAGCCCTAGTGTGCTTTGCCGTAATTAAATACACCTCACCACCACAAATAACAAGAACTAAACTAAAAATTCAAAGATATTAACAAACAGTACAATTACTCTGCATGGTTCAGATAATCATATTACTTAAAGCGGCGTCGAATTCTAGTGGCTGCAAAGTAATAGCTGGTACTCCACGTTAACCAGCAATAAATGCAGAACCAGAAACTCACGCTACAAAGGTTCAGCGCTTGCCCACACTCTAACTTTCCCTTCTAGAACTCAGTATTTAAACTTTTTCTCTTCCAAGTAGAATTTGCACTACTTCACGTGCGCTAACAAATTTAAATATTCTGGCATTGACAATTAGGGGAATGAAGGCTTAGAGGAATGAACGTAAACTTAAATTTAACTGGTTAAAAAATTAAAATTAAATATAAATCCCTATACGACCTTTCCAGTTACAAGGGGTTGCTCAACCTTTCTCTCCTTTCCGTGTTACAACAAAGTAGCACAGTGAGACGTTCTTTGGAGGTTTTAAACACCACAGCGCTCATCTCCTTTAAAGCATAGGGTTTCATTAGGTAAAATTTGATAAAATAATCCAGTTTCATCTGCACTGTAGATGCTTTTAGCCTCATATCCTTTATAAATTTCATTTAGCTTTCCTATCTAGTCTGTTATAAGTTCCATATCGACTGATCTTTCTTCACCACAATTAGTCTTAATAATAACATTACGTTTTTGCTTAAATTTGTTTAACCAACCATCTAATGCTTTGAAGTTCTGTAATCCCGGACTTAAACTTCCTTAGCCTTTTACAATAATACTCAGCTTATAGAAATATTGTTTGCTCTTAGAGAACAAAACCAATTGAACATGAATCATATAAACATTTTGGTTTAATATTAATCTTTTCTTTTTTGAAGCCTTGCTTGAAATGTACTTGAAAAAATAGCACACAACTACAAAACTACATTTCTTTTGCTACCAAGTCCTAGCAAGAAATAAGAATGATAGAAATTTTCACTCTATTCACATTGTGAGATCTCTATTCCTTGGCAGGTGGTTCAGTCATTTCACCACCTTTTCTTTCCCATTGGTCTCAGTCTTGGATTGCCTTACAAATTGCTAATACTGCATTCTTCTCCCTACTGAGAATTGAAGTAAGAATAATTCGATTTAGAAATCTATGACTGTGATATATCCTTTTGATTGCACCAAAACAACTTGCTTGTTCTAAATATATTGTTCCTCTTTTCCCGGCTGAAAAGTAGTTTTCAAACGACAGGGATTAACTTTTCATTTTATTATTCCGTTGTCACAAACTATCTTTCACTGAGCACAAACTTGCTTTCGAAACTTCAAAGATTACTAGTAAAAAGTATTTATATTTATTTTTCTATCCATCTTATTTTTGAAACTTTTTTCAATGTGCCTTAAATAGAGTGCCCCTAGATAAAAAATAAATACATTAAGGTCCCTATTCAAAGGAACAGGGACCAATATGATTGTCCCGTGAATATTTCTTTTCAGTAGTAGCATTTAAACATACAATTCATTGACTTGAGTGTGACAAGTACATTCAACACAGACACATGAAAAGAACAAAATGCAAAATTTTGGAACATAAATTGGTCAGAAGTAAAAGTAAAACAGTCTGAAGATCTCGAAGCCTCTCTCCTCTCTTGCCTGCCATTATCTTTCATATAGATGTTCAGTCACTTTAGGGCATTCCTTAAGATGGGAAGCACCCATAACAGTACCTCTCCCACATAATATACAGTTAGGACACGAAAAGATACCAAATCTAAATAAATGACCTGCAAGGCAATCATGTCCAGTCTCAACCGGAAGGCTGCAACAGCAATTCGTCTTGGGGCAGTAGGTATTTTTAAAACAGAATACCTCCAACGCTTTTCTTCAACTTGCTCTGCTTGCCTGGATCGAAAGTCATTATTCATGCGTTCTTTTATTGCTCGCTTGCCCACCAGCGACCGAGCGGTAAGTTGCTGAACACCAGTAGTTTGGTCCGAGGTTCGAATCTCGCGAACGGGCTGGCTGCATGGGTGTTTTCGTGGTTTTCCCCATGTGTAACGTGTATATGAGCCAGTTTCCCTTAGAAAGTCCTCCACGAAGGCACCCCTCCCTTACGTAGATAGCCCTAGTGTGCTTTGCCGTAATCTCAATAAACCATACTTTTATTGCTTGCACTATAGTAGAAGAGCGTAAATTAATTTCCCTTCTCTATTCTAAAAAGAGTAACCCCTCTCTGCACTGCCTCATTTCGAGACTATTCTATGTCATATGATTCTTACGTAATTATGATGATTTAAATGGACTAAAGCAGCCAATAACAATTTTACAGCAATATTAACTATCCAATCAAAATGCTTTGAGAACCAAAACTAACTCAGTTTGACTTCAGATTTCATCCTGAACATTATGCACCTTCTACGCTTTGCCTTAGCTGGACTGCAGTCTCTCTGCTTCTTCTTTTTTGCTGCAAATCTATCAAAAATGTAAGCCTTTTGGAACAGGCACATTTAATGTGCCAACTTGTGTGTAGCTGCAACATGTTGCTGAAAATAAAACTGAAGATTTAATCTGCTTTTGCCTTCAATTTCCTAGTCATTATGGATCAGCACTTCTACGCTATCAAAATTCCTGCTCCTGAATATATTACCATATATGCAACCAGTCCTGACCAGGATAATTAGTATGTACAGTCTGCAGAGCAATAGCCCTCAACTCCAATTCGTTTGTCATTTTCTTATGCATAGGTTGTATCAAGTGGACTTCACTCTACAAACAACCAAAACACCAAAGATGATCTAATTGATTTGGAAAATATTTCAGCAGCAGGAAGGATTTCGAGTCTCTCTTTTATGGTCAGGACTGTCTGGATAGGACCTGTCTCTGTTTTTAATCTTCTATTTTTGTTTATGTCATAATTTCTCCAGTAGGTGTTACATGGAAGACGAATTAATCAATCCCGTAAATATAGGTGTCCCTTATATATATATATATATATATATACTATACTATACAATTTAATGATTTCACATGTAATTAGTAGATATATAATCAAAATTTGTATAAATAATGTATTTATTTTCAGTACTATTAACATTCATCCTTAAGAATTTTCTGCCATCTATTAGTTTGTATTATTACATTCATAAGTCCTGAATAAAAACAATTAAATGTTTATTCGGCATTAGGAAAATTAACCAAAAAGCAGTGTCTCGCAATGTATTTGTTATTTGAAAAAAAGGTTCTTAGACGTAAAAAGGTTGAAAACTATATTAGTTAAGAAATTTCTCACATACTTAGATACTTCGTATTCATATAACATAGCACACGCAATACAAAACTCAGTATTTACAATACAAATTCATTGATATAACAAACAACAAATAACTGCCTTTCTATTTTTATGCTTTTAAAAAATGCATTTGACTTATTGCTTATCTTTTTACAATCCATTTTCATAGTAAAAAATTGCATTCGCTCAAAGAATTCAATTAGTTCAGTGAAATTAGTACATAGTATTTATTCGAATTATCTGAAAGAAAGTCAGTCTAATATACAACATTTAGCAGTAAATAGGTTTGAATTACAAAGTTATTCAAAGAAATAAAATAGAACAGAAATTTCTTGCAGGTACCAAACAACTTTTAGACATCGTAAAGAAAATAAATATAAATTTGAAATTTTTTTTTTTTTTTTTTGTTTGTGTTATTGTTATTTTCTATGTATGTTTCGACAAACACACACTAAGCGAAATTTTAAATTTATTTTATTGAAAATGATTTTTAATTTTTTTA